ATATCAATAAATTAAAGAAAAAAATAATTGCTATCAAGTATATTACATTGGCAATTGCAATAAACAAATGCATAAATAAAAGAATAAAGAAAAGTATGTTATTACACTATTGTTTCTCTCACTGATGCATTCAGACGGTACAGTTTGCGGTGACTTACATTAAAAAAAAAATGTTATGACATAAATCCAGCTTTTGGCTACTTGCAAAAAAAGTGCATAATACATGTGGCGGTTTTGATCCAGTTCTTGCAGTTTGAAACATTTAGAAATATATAGAAATATATATATTATTATTATTATTATTATTTAGCTTTCCACTGAAAACCTGGATTTACAATCATATTTTTGATTTCCCATAACTCAAAACAGTTAGGTCATATACTGAACAAAAATAATACCCAGTGCATTGCAGTTATGCTTGTAAAAACAAACCTAATGCTGATCATGACTTCTATGAAGTAAGTGTGAGCTCAACTTTATTATTCATTTTTCTTTCTTTCTTTATTATTTATGTCCATTGTTATGGGAAACTATATGGGTAAACAAAAAAGCAACTTAAAAAAGTGTTGTGGGCAACAAGTGTTTGGTAATGATTCAGTAAGAAGAGGTAAGGTACTTTTGGCTGTGTATTTAATGAAAGGGATTTATACATAATTATATCAATAAATTAAAGAAAAAAATAATTGCTATCAAGTATATTACATTGGCAATTGCAATAAACAAATGCATAAATAAAAGAATAAAGAAAAGTATGTTATTACACTATTGTTTCTCTCACTGATGCATTCAGACGGTACAGTTTGCGGTGACTTACATTTAAAAAAAAATATTATGACATAAATCCAGCTTTTGGCTACTTGCAAAAAAAGTGCATAATACATGTGACGGTTTTGATCCAGTTCTTGCAGTTTGAAACATTTAGAAATATATATTATTATTATTATTATTATTATTGATAGATAGATAGATAGATAGATAGATAGATAGATAGATAGATAGATAGATAGATAGATAGATAGATAGATAGATAGATAGATAGATAGATAGATAGATAGATAGATAGATAGATAGATAGATAGATAGATAGATAGATAGATAGATAGATAGATAGATACCAGTTCGCATCTGCATTATTAAATGCACGTTTAGCATTTATAAATAATAATTGGACATTTCCATTCGCAGAGAAAGAATCAAAACGTAGGGCCTTTCACTTATGCGGGACAGGAAATAAGAAAGTATCTATGAAATAGTTTTGAAGTTGTAACGCTACAGACTTTGCAGAACAGACAATAATCATTCCCTTTCAACGTCAAGAAAAGGGGGAGTTTATGAGAGGGTTAAAGGAATGAGAGAACGGTTGTTAGCACTGCTATATCAAGGAAGAAGGACTCCCTGTTATCTGTGAATGGGTTTGCCTTCTTTTCCAGAATAGATATAGCACGAATTTTTAATTCGTTTTTCTTTGAGAGACAACAATGCTGCGTTTGAAAGCGGGACACAATTTGAAGCCTTTGTAGTTTACATTCAAAAATTCAAATGGCTTGCTTGGTCGAATGGACTACATTTTTTACTTTTTCTGTCTGCAAATCCACTGAAAACCTGGATTTACAATCATATTTTTGATTTCCCATAACTCAAAACAGTTAGGTCATATACTGAACAAAAATAATACCCAGTGCATTGCAGTTATGCTTGTAAAAACAAACCTAATGCTGATCATGACTTCTATGAAGTAAGTGTGAGCTCAACTTTATTATTCATTTTTCTTTCTTTCTTTATTATTTATGTCCATTGTTATGGGAAACTATATGGGTAAACAAAAAAGCAACTTAAAAAAGTGTTGTGGGCAACAAGTGTTTGGTAATGATTCAGTAAGAAGAGGTAAGGTACTTTTGGCTGTGTATTTAATGAAAGGGCTTTATACATAATTATATCAATAAATTAAAGAAAAAAATAATTGCTATCAAGTATATTACATTGGCAATTGCAATAAACAAATGCATAAATAAAAGAATAAAGAAAAGTATGTTATTACACTATTGTTTCTCTCACTGATGCATTCAGACGGTACAGTTTGCGGTGACTTACATTTAAAAAAAAATATTATGACATAAATCCAGCTTTTGGCTACTTGCAAAAAAAGTGCATAATACATGTGACGGTTTTGATCCAGTTCTTGCAGTTTGAAACATTTAGAAATATATATATTATTATTATTATTATTATTTAGCTTATTGTTATTATGAGGGTGCTTAAGTATGGACTCTGGGAAGTAAGAGTGGAAGTAATAATTTAGTGGTCATGCATAATCAGCAAATTGTATGTTAAAATACCGTAATATATCGGTATATCGGTTGAAATGTTCCGAGAAGGCAACGTTTGATGACAAAATAATAACATCAAGGACACTGATAACACTTATCCACTTCCATATCTGTGCTCTGTATTGTGCGGGCTGTGATGCTAAGGTTTTGGTTTGTGTGGACCAATTGCGCCTCTCTGCGGATCATGTCGTAAACACCACACAATTCATCATGGCATCTAAACACCTCGCTTAAAAACAGCATTCAGTTTTAACTCTATTATTAAACTTCAATAATAGGCCTACTACCTACCGTTTATGGTGTTTTGTTGTTGTTGTATCGATGCTATTATCGACATTTGCAGCATGAAATTAACTTGACTCTTCTTAAACTGGTCCTACGAAGTGAACAACGTTACTGATCCTTTCAACGGGCTCTGTCTCCATCTTGTGGCAAGTATATTGGTGATATGTGATTTGGTCCTTGTCACATTGAAAATGCACTCATTTTGTAACACATTTGAGATGGTGGTTGAATCTAATCTGTATCTTCTATTGGCAATAAAATACCAAATTACTTCCTTCAAATGTTAGTCCTGCTTATTAAGGCGTTGAGAATCCTCATTTGGAGATATGGATGATAAGAAATTATTCATGTTGAAGTTCAAAAAAAATGGTAACAGTTATTTGGATCCATGGACACCCAAGTGCACACTTCCTGAAATATCCCATTTGGAGGCGTGAAAGGGTTATTATCCACGCGTTAACTTCAGCATACATTCAAAATCGTTTTATGAGCGTTTGCGACTCTCTTACTTTTGATATTTTCGCAAAAATACTCCTCAACCGAGACTAATTCCAGATAATATCCTACAATGCTTCAATATTTATTTTTACACTGAAAGTGTTTTATTTACCACCTAAGGCAGATGTCGTGTCCTCAGGAAATTTAATGGAATCTTTATTTTTGTAATACGCGGGATATTTGGTGAATGCGGGCCCAGCTGTCCATATGGAATAGAACGTGTACAACAAGCACCACAATGGCACCAACTGACAGGCGCTACAAAAAAAACAAAAAAAAACAAGGATATATCTCCCTGACTCAGGGATGCACTGGTCCAGATAACGGACCTGAATAGCACTAAGAAATGCGGACTGTCTTTCTCCCTCTCTCCACCCGGAGATACACTCCCCCTGTTAATATGCACGCCTCTAGCATTCACAACAACCGACCCTAAGCTTTGTTAGGTTTTGTGTCATGTACTGTATATTGTGCTACTATAGACTGCTCAAAAGTGCTTCGCCACATTGTTGACCATCAGTCCAACGCAACTGTGACCACGATTTTTTTTTTTCTTCCCTTTTTCTTCTGAGCGCAGTTTTGCTGCATAATCACAGACGGAAAACTAATCGGAAAGAAAAAAGCAGTGGTAACACTTTGGAAACGTTTTTTTTTTGTCTTTCTCTGAAATGGTACACTGAAGAAGCGGTAAATATACCGTCACAAATTACTTCTTATAGTCGACAACAGGTGCAAGTACAATTCTGTCATTTTCACACCGCCTTCTCCTTACCAAACAACAGCGGTTTTGCAAGAACTATCGAAAATATTAGTCAAATATTATGTAGAATTCTTTAAAAACATAAATTAATAAATAAACAAAATATCAAAAAGTCACAATCAAACCAACTGTGGAAAGCATAAGGGGAAATGATCGAGTCGCTTAAGATTAATTCTGTAAATAATTAGCGCAGCGTTTCTATTTAATGAAAGCCAAGTTTACCCTCGCCTCTGCTGTAAAATATATTTGAAAAACCAACCATTTCGGATTTTGCACTGAGCCATGGTATTGACCCAAGACACTAATATACGATAATCCTCACCGGGAAAGAAACTAAAGAGAGCTGTTTTTCTTGCCTATTTAAACAACAAAACAAAAAAAAACACATATAGTAATTGTGACTTTTATTTCTTAGCTGACATCCGATGTGTAAAAAAAAAATAATAATAATAATAATAATAATAAATAAAAAATTCTGACTCGTATGCGGCCGCGGTGCATATCAGTTCAAGCAAATCACTTATTTGATAGCCTACACCGCGTGGCAAAGTTTAACAACACATTTGTTTAGTTGACAATAAAATATTCTATAATTGCATTGTAATTAGTACAATTACATAATATTAAGCTAACAAAACTTTGTCACGTGTGTTTTCTCTCTTAAATGTGCCGTTTTAACACCCGAAATGTCAGCCGCGGAGCCTGAAAAGGAGAGAGCGTTTGAATGAAAAGCTGCTTAGCTGAAGAAGCCCTCTTATATTAAGTGAGTGGATTTTTACCCCCATTTCACAAGTGACTTTAGCCTTCTTATTGCTGAAGTGTTCGTACAGATAAATTCGGAAAAATGAAGCCAATTGTGTTGCTGATGAAGTGACAGGGAGAGCGACAAGCTGTCCAAAGCAACATTTGTGCAAACACAAAGGCTTTATAAATTAGCATATTTATATCATTTGTACTTATTCGTTCTATTAGTTTATTATAAAGTATTTGTATTAATGCGAGATGGCGAAGAAACGATCCATATTTTGCCAAATGTGCCCGAAATCACTGAGACCAAACGCAAAACAAATCGGAATTTCTGAAACACATCATTTTATTAAAAGTCTTAATAAAAAGAATTGCAGACCTCCCTCGCCAGCGCGCGGTGTTACTGAAATTAACATGAGGGATATTTATCGACAACTGATTTTCCATTTTCCCTAAATATAGCTCACTGAACGGTCAAACATAATATTGCAAACAGTTATCACAAAATATTTACATAGGAAACAAACCAATGTAATAAGCTAAAGATTGCCAATGTTTATTCATGGCCATAAATATATTCGGTCCATTGTAAAAGAAAGAAATACAATTTTCTATAATCATAAAGTGGTTTGCACGTGCTTATAACACGAAGGACAAAAGGAAAACATTTCTACAACACACACACATACTTTACAAAATTTCACAAGAGCTTTAACATTCTTAAATTTGGGGAGAGGCTTGACCCGGTTTTCTTAACGAAAACATGTAAACATGGCGCACACGTCAATCCCCAAAATAAACTGGTGAGAAAGGGTCAAGCTGCAAAAATAAAAAGTCGTGTATTTTTGTTTGGAAAGCTCCCTACCACGGTCTTTAAAATGCAGCCCTGCATTTGCAAGAAAGTATTTGTTCACCAAGCCCACTGTTGCGTTTGCACCAAGTGATGTGCTGTTGGGAAGTGTGGTGTGGTGGCGGCGCTGTAATGCGCGTTATATTGCATGTGCTGGAGAGACTGGGCGCTATACGCGGAGAACGGAATTCCAGCCTGAAAAGTAGCTGCCAAGTCCTGAGCTTTTAGCGTATGGCAGGGCTTGCCATCTCTGACTAACACAGGCACGGCCACCCGCCTAGGAGAAGGGAGATGGGTCACTTCCATACCTTTCTCCGCCCTGGCTCTCTTCATTTTGTATCGATGGTTCTGGAACCAGATTTTCACTTGGGTTGGAGTCAGGCGGATCAAGCTGGCGAGATGCTCCCTCTCCGGTGCTGACAGATACCTCTGTTGCCTAAACCGGCGCTCGAGTTCGTAAGTTTGTGCCTTGGAAAAGAGCACCCTCCTTTTGCGCTTCTTACCGGAGTCGCTGCCGTTGCTCGAAGTTTCCTTTTCGTTGTCCGGCGACTCGTCCGCTGAAGGTTCCGGAGATTTTGCAGACGAGTCTTGAGAGTTTGCGGATAGGCCGTGTACTGGTTCAAAAACAAAAAAAAAATGGGGAAAAAATAGTACGTTTAATACCACATCAAATAAAATGCAATTGTAAATTGCAAGAAAGTGTGTATATGTGACATTTCTTTGTATTTAGGCTATCTTCAGCTATACCAACGAGCAACTATTTGCCAACGAACATTAAATTAGGTCACGCGGACAAATAAATACAGCAATCTGTTATTGCAGATCTGTTAATAACATGAACATGTTTTTCATTTTAATAGGCCCTTATTATCACGGGGCGTGTGACCCAAACGAAACGATGATTTTGCCGTATAGCCGATTCAACAGTTACTGATTAACAAAGAGGAAAAGGTAAGCGAAAACTATCAGTCAATAAAGCTCCCAGAAACTGTCTAGGAAATTTAAACAGGATTTCTGAAACAAAAAAATGTAGCGCTGATAACTAATTTAATGGCAGTTATGACCACAATCCAGAAGCACATAATAGGCTACGCCTTTAGACAAGCGCAACAGTGGAAATCTACAGATGAACATTTGTCTACGACAGTAGACTATCAAAAACAGTGATTTTGTAAAATGGTTTCAACCGTGCAAAATCAAATATTTGTGAGTAAATAATAGTGTTTTTTTTTACAATCGACTTGTGAATTCAACTTGTTCAACTTGTGTGAATTCTTGCTACTTACATGAGTATTGGATGCTGTCCGTAGTTGCGAGCCATCTGGTATAAGGATTGTCGCTATTATCATAAAACGGATTCTTTAAAGGCAGGTTTTGAACATTCTCTAAAGGACTTTGCACTAGCACTCCAGGCGTTTTAGTCGCCTCAGAACCCTCCGTATCTTCCTCAGTCCCGGTGATCGATCCTTCTTCATCGTTAGTATCAGGGAGGTCCAAAATGTCCTTTACTGAAAAGCCCGTCTTTGTGTTGGTCACCGACATGTTCTGGGGCATTTGATGCAGTGAAGTTGCTGCACCAGTTTGGCAATCCTCTGTATAAAAACACAAAACACAGATGATTTAATTAATATATGATCGGTGCCGTTTCAGCGCGAAGTAAACTGAAGTCGACGCATGAGGCTCGATCGGTAACCGTTGCTTGGGGAAAAAAAAGTAGGGAGAAATCAGTTCTGTAAGTCCAGGAAGAATGCCAAAGTGACTGAAGTGGTATATCTAGCTCATGGATATTGCGCTACTGCTGGGTGTTAGGGAAATAAGCCATTACCAGGCTGATCAGTCCATATAAGGTTGGTCTCAACACATGAACCTGCAGTGAAAAAGCATTAAAAACGAAAAAGGTTGGCCACGTGTGGGCGGGTCTTGGGAGTCAAGTGGATGAAGACAGTGTTTGTCGATGTGAAATTGTGGGTTTTGGGGAGATCCTAGCCTATACCATTGGTGCTTCAGAACATGATGAGTGGTATAACGTGTCAATTAATTACAAAGATGGGGAGGGCCTTTTTACACCCCATTTACATACAAAGAACCTCCAAGTAGCTTTATACACATCATAGGCCTTCTTGAACTGGAAATGGACAAAATCTGTGCATATTCCTCAGTAGAAACTTATAACGCAGATGTATATAAATAAATGATGCACTGAAAGTGCTGTTTGGATCCAGCATTTAGGAGGATGTCTCTTTGTAATCCCCAAAAATGTTTATTTTTTAAAAAAGGGCAACGAAATCGCCTCTAGTGGTAACAGACTAATTTATGTATGTCAATATTTTGGTTCGGGATTAAGGAGAAGGGTCGTTCACTGGACATGATTAAGCCATCAAAAAACATGAAACGGGAAAGAAACAATGATCTTGTTTTTTTTGTTGTTTTTGTTTTTTTGTTCTGGATGATTAGTAGCTTCTTATTATTGTTACAGAAATGATGACTTTTAAAAAAAAAACAATCTTGTGCAGTTTGCATAATTTATTATATCATTTAGCGCCAGTTAAAATGTAATATTACTCATAACAATTTTTTTCAACGTTTCTCAAAGACAATCGAGATGATCATGTGGGTAAACAGTAAAACTATGCTCAAATTACACGAACGACAGTTTAGTGCCTCCTTTTTAAAACAAATGTCTGATCATTATATGTGTATTGCTTCTTTCCGTTGTCCGCTGCACAAAAAGTGAAGCATTATTGCTCTGTATTTTGCCTCTCCTTTTCAACCCTCTGTCCTATCTTTTCTTTTTTTGCCTCTTTGCCTCCTATCTAGTATGTGATGTGGGTGACAATGTTGCACGTTTCTAGCCAGTCCTCTGCTCATCCTGGGTGGTCGAACCCGGGCAAACACAAATACAAACCGATTGCTAAGCTGCAGACAATAGGGGAAATGTAGACAAATGTCCGGCTCCTGTTGGAAGCCTTTGTCCGGCCGTAGTTTTTGCATTTATTTAAGGGCCAAAATAATAGATGATTGACGCCCCTGTACAATACGTTCTAACTGTTTGGAATAAATCTGAGGTTGTTCCTAGTTGTCATGGCATTCACTGCTTTCAATGGACTATCTCTTCATTCATTTCTGTACCCCTTCACAATATCAAGGAAAGTCCTTCATCTCTCTCTCTCTCTCTCTCCCTCTCTCTCTCTCTCTTTCTCTCTTTCACACACACACACACACACACACACACGCACGCACGCAAGCAGGCACACATTCTACGCGCACTTTCTCTTTTTCTTGCACGCAAGCAAGCATTCAAGATTGGTGATAAGTGGGGTACAAATTAGATAAACCTATTTCTTTATATTTTTCATTATTAATTATGTGTTGAAAAGATATATTAACGCTGTTGTTGTTATAACTTAATCCATGAATTTGACGTAACTAACGTTAAAATCATGGATTAAGTGAATACTGAATTTAACGATCGCTTTCTGCAAGCGAAATGTTAAAATATTCGATAGGATATAAAAATGAAAAATATCCTGTAGGATTCTGGATTTAGCAAGATTTACAATAGCAGCAATCTCATCGAAAAGATGTGCTTGATATGGTAAACACGCAAGTAACCAAGCATATTTTTCATCCTATGACCAGTTTCATAATCAGTTACCTGATAGGTAAATACTTGACCAGAGTTTTACGTAGAATTAATCATGCAGCGACAGAAAAAATCAGACAATGGGAGCATTGAACTGGACGGGCCAGGAGCAAAGTCGAACTGTGAACGCTTTTCGCAAGGTCATTCTCCCAGCCTTCCCATGCCGCAGAGACAGGTTACTGAACACATCCCTGTAACCATGAAATGATAAATGACGAGAATCTTGCAAACGCACTCTATATGCAGATTTAAACTAAACACATGATACACTGTTCCTGTTACACTCTTTGTTTGGCATTAATGCAGTTTCGAATTATATTTCCAGAAAATCATATAGGCTGGTGACAAAATTTGTAAATAAGGTATTAATTAATGCCCCAGTCTACTCTGTTCCAATGTAACCAGCACAACACACTCCGCGATCGATGGCAGGACTCGTAGTTTGTCTGTGGCCAGTGATTTGGGAATGTGTTTGAACAATTGAACCGAGGAGTTCGGTAAGGAGAAGTAAATGTGCACAGGCTGAGTGGCTATACTTCACTTCAAGAGCCATTTCCTTCTGTTTACCTGTTTACTTTTGCAGGTAGCTCAAATAGACAGTTTGTCTTTGCGCTTATACTGAAAAGAGGAGCGCCAGTATCTTAGCGCACCGATTTGAGTTAAACTAGTGTAATTCCCGATGAGCATTCACAACGGTGTTTACATCGCATTTGCTATCTAAATATTCAGTACTTGAGGTCCGCTCAACAGTTGTGAGCACTAAGTGTCAGATTGGCTGGAGAGATAAAAAAATATTTAGAATCATAATTTTCAGTATAAAAAAAGGCATCACTCGTTTTAACAGCAACAGCAACATTAATACTACTACTAATAATAATAATAATGCGCGCTGAGTAAAACGCGCACAATTTAAAATTATATTTCGGTGTCTGTATTATAGGCATATTTTCAATGTCAGAAAATAAAATCTTGCACAAAGCATCACATCAATATTTAAAAACATTTAGGGGATGTTGCATGCATACACGCACAAAATATATGCATATATGTATGAAAATTATTAGGAGTAGGCTATAACCCCTACTAACGCGTTTTTAAAATAAAACCAACAAATCATCATAAAGACTGTTAATTTTTTTTGAGGAAACAGCTGACGTCCTCTGCAATCTGGCATCGTATATTGTTAGCATGCTTAAGATTTATTTAAAAATACAATGTTTCGTAAATACGATGATACAATAACGCTAAACACCCATTAATTAATCCCTTGTCGAACAAAAAGGTCTGAACCTGTCATTTTATGGAAGCTGATGTTAATAACTGGGGACAACAAAAAAGACCTTTATACGCTTGATTAAAAAGAAAATCCTAATGCTGCCTGAAGGCCAGGGGACTATAATAACGTTGATCATTTCTTGCTTTAATCGACGAATTTCAGCGTATTCCGATGCCTTGGGCGAGCAGTTAAGCTTTGATAAATGTAACCCTGTTTCCCTCTAGGTGCTCATGATAAATGTATAAACTGACAAGAGCGATTTTCTGCTTTCCCCCTGCGATTAAAAGGCCATAACAGGGAAATGTTGGTATAAAAATAAGTCTGGTGGTTTGTGAGACTTAGCCGCTGCCCGAAGAAAATGCCCTGCAGCATAGATCGTTTGGAGCTGGTCTGATTCTCCTGACTGCAGGCAAACGCTGCGCCTTTATTCGTCTCAGAGCCTCTAATGATTAAACATGTCAGAAGGAGATTAACACGGTGCCCATGGCCCAGGGACATGCCTTCATTTGTTTAACTACCAGTTTATTTGTAACGGTGAATTTCATGGCGCATAGTGTTAAATTCTCCGTCCTGGCACCTTTATCAGAGTACCCAAAACAAATTGGTTTAAGGATGATCATTTTAATCACGGTATCTTAAAGTCCACTGGGACGTTTGTCTCTATTTTTGCAATCCGTTTGAAATTAATTATAGATTAATTGAAATAAAATGGCCCTGCTTTACGCACACGTGAAGTTAGAAATAGTACATATTTCAGAGCGAGATTTCTTTCTTTCACCCCAATAAATTATACTTGCATCCAGTCATATGATTTCCACTGAGGGTGATGGTGGAGATGGGCACGAAGAGACATTTTTGATACTCGGGCGAACTCTGCCGGTACAAATGCGTATAGCCTGGAAAAAAATGAACTAAAATGAATAAGACCTAATGGCGTTTTCTGCGAAACTATACATACACACACACACACACACATATAAATAAATAAATAAAATACAGTTATCATTAACAACAATGTGATGATAAACGATGAAAACAAATAAACAGCATCAACAGCAACATATAATAATAAAAATAATAATAATCTATGAATAATTTTAATTATTATGATGATATTGACGCATAGGTTTCAAACTATGTCATATGTAGTTATGCAATTTTTCATATCCAGAGATTGCTATTTCATAATAAAGGGAAGATATTCTGAAATGATTTTCAAATATGATTAGGCTTTAACAGCAAGGGGAGGATTGCACCGCACGAAGCATTACAAGCAAGTTTACCTTCAGACTTTAGGCTTTTAATAGAACTCACAAGTGCGTGCGCGTGCGCCTGCAAGAGCGAGCGAACACACACACACACACACACACACACAAACACAAGCAAGCATTTAATCTTTGCACAGCGTACCTAACGCACTGTACGCGGAGAGGTCGAGTGATAGCAATAAACGCTCACCTGGCGGCTGACGGAAGAGGGTAAGTGGTGCAGCTTGCGTTAAGACACCGCACAGTTAATGAAATTTCTCCAAATGAAAGTAAGGACGCACGCACCGATAAGCCTGATGTGCTTTATATACCCAGGGAGCAAGCACTCCTCTTCTGATATTGTCCAAGTACGTTTGCATAGCTGGCGAAGTGGCTCTACCTTAGATTTGCTACTAACATTACACGATGTTTGTTTTCCCCCTGCAATGACGGGAGACAAAATATTGGCCATATGTTCGTCGGCAATAAATTGGTCATGAGAGCAAACATGGTTGCCTCATAAGAGCGCTTTTAGCTGATCCGTATTCACCGATTCATGCTACACTATTGACCAAAGTGCTAGTACTGCCTTCTGTGTCGTTTTGATACACTTAGGCTGTGAATTGTCCAAAGCTGTTTATTAAATCAAATAGCCAACAAAAAAAGTTTATTCACGTGGCTTTGGCAAACCTGCGGCTAAGAAAGTCGAAAGTCTCTGCCAGAAGTCTCTACAATAAATCGCTTGGTTGCCATGATGTTGCATGGCCAAATGAGCAGATGTGGCATGTTGTGTTGGTTAAAGCCCTGTTTACTTAAGATACCCTTTATGCAGCTGTTGATATCCGAGGTCAGAGGACTCAGGTCTCATCTGTGGTCTACTCAAGGTGTGAAGCCAGGGCCTACCTACATTTTCAATCAATTCAGACAGCTTAAAGTTTCTCGTGAAGCTCCACTTTCAGTCTGACTGCGATGTGCATAATCGATTCATTCGGAATATGGGTAATTAATAATTAATTGGCAGACTTACCAAAAAAGTAAATATAGATGTGTAAAGTCAAGCCTCAGTAGTAATTGAAGTAGGCCTATCACAGATTCCGCAGATGGCTAATGCTAAGAGCGATGCTTTATCTAGTGCTTAAATAGAAAATGTCTATTTAAATTACATGCATCAATATTTGGCATAATTTACTAAATAATACAGCAATGCAACTCTTGAACTGTAGCGTATATTTTATTTGCTTGCAATGAAGAAATAGCGTTATAGGTTAGAGTAGAACTTAATTTTTTATTTTTATTTTTGCCTTGGAAAAAGGGAGCTTAAATTGAAAGAAAATGACATCTACAGTAACTATCTCTAATAACTTATTGCTGTTTCAATTAAACAGAGGTCTTGTAGTAATGTAAGACATTTATCACAGGATCTAGTTTCCATTTAAAGATAAAGATAACCCTGTTGTGTTATTTATCCCTCGCAATATGTAGGCCTGCACAAATAAAATGTATTATTTTATTCATTTATTTATTTTCTGTACAAGGAGAGCATTTTCCAAAACTAACAAACTGTATTCTTATCGACAACTGCAAAGAGTCTCAAAGATTTCATTGTGGCCAGCTTGGAATCTTTCCATCACAATGATGGTTTTGTTAAATACGGAGGGAGCAACCATCAATCAGTGGAGGAATACATTACCACTGGTTTTTGTTGGGTGCCACTTTACGGGTAAAAGACTGAGATTAGCCTCATGTTATCCTTGCTCTTGAGAGCAATGCCACAGTGTGAAGAATACATATAAATAAATTGGACTCGTCACTGCATTCAGATTCCATATTAATCTAAAGTACCTGGTTTGACGAGCAATGTACTCATGAAGCTCCTTGCCAGTACAAAAATCCTTTCCACTCATCCTGTTGTGAATCGTTGTGCAGTGGGAGTCCTATTATGACCGCTCAGAGGGCTTCCTCAAAGACCTTCAGAGCAAGAATGGAGATGATAGACCCTTGTGGTCAAGCTATTAAGATATATCCCTTTCCAAAGTGTGATGACTGAAACACTTCAAATGAGCTGGACGGGCGCATAAAGACACCAATGGCATGCCATTCTTGTATCTATCAGTTCAAGTTTTGATATATCAACCACTTGAGAAGGGTCGCTCAAACAGAGAGAATGCTTCTCCAAACACAAATGCAACTACTAAATAATACAGCAATGCAACTCTTGAACTGTAGCGTATATTTTATTTGCTTGCAATGAAGAAATAGCGTTATAGGTTAGAGTAGAACTTAATTTTTTATTTTTATTTTTGCCTTGGAAAAAGGGAGCTTAAATTGAAAGAAAATGACATCTACAGTAACTATCTCTAATAACTTATTGCTGTTTCAATTAAACAGAGGTCTTGTAGTAATGTAAGACATTTATCACAGGATCTAGTTTCCATTTAAAGATAAAGATAACCCTGTTGTGTTATTTATCCCTCGCAATATGTAGGCCTGCACAAATAAAATGTATTATTTTATTCATTTATTTATTTTCTGTACAAGGAGAGCATTTTCCAAAACTAACAAACTGTATTCTTATCGACAACTGCAAAGAGTCTCAAAGATTTCATTGTGGCCAGCTTGGAATCTTTCCATCACAATGATGGTTTTGTTAAATACGGAGGGAGCAACCATCAATCAGTGGAGGAATACATTACCACTGGTTTTTGTTGGGTGCCACTTTACGGGTAAAAGACTGAGATTAGCCTCATGTTATCCTTGCTCTTGAGAGCAATGCCACAGTGTGAAGAATACATATAAATAAATTGGACTCGTCACTGCATTCAGATTCCATATTAATCTAAAGTACCTGGTTTGACGAGCAATGTACTCATGAAGCTCCTTGCCAGTACAAAAATCCTTTCCACTCATCCTGTTGTGAATCGTTGTGCAGTGGGAGTCCTATTATGACCGCTCAGAGGGCTTCCTCAAAGACCTTCAGAGCAAGAATGGAGATGATAGACCCTTGTGGTCAAGCTATTAAGATATATCCCTTTCCAAAGTGTGATGACTGAAACACTTCAAATGAGCTGGACGGGCGCATAAAGACACCAATGGCATGCCATTCTTGTATCTATCAGTTCAAGTTTTGATATATCAACCACTTGAGAAGGGTCGCTCAAACAGAGAGAATGCTTCTCCAAACACAAATGCAACTGAGAGCTTCATTCGTTCTCAGCCAAGGGTGCACTTTTGGGAAAAATGTTTAATTAACACTGGGGCAGCCCTGTGCATTTTCACTACAAACGAAGATCATCTGCCTGGGAGTTGTCCACTCTTTACTTTTGGCTGGTTGTAATGGTCAGTGCTCTTCACTAGAATGGTGCCATTTTATTTGGCTCTCTAAAACACTTTCCCGTTAATCGTTCGTGAAGATTCCAGGTCGCATGAATGGGGTTTCTGTGGTGCAGAGATTCATGGGAGTAATTGTCCAAAAAGAAAGTGTTTTAAGTGATAGGCCTGACACTTGGGGCTTTTGAGTACATCTGCACGAGATGAGCACGACAGCCATGGATTGCGCTAGAGAAACAAGAGGTGTGATCAAGAGGAGATTTTTAAAAAGGGTAGAGCTGCTTACCAACCGTCGCTCCTGTTGCTCCTGACATGTGTTGTTAAAGTAATTAATACTGGATGTATAATATGTACAGTCTAAAATCTGTTCCATCAACTTGTGGTAGTTACTGCCAAAAAAAAAAAAACACGGTTATGAGAAAATCTCTTGGTTTAGGAAGTGCATCCAATACATATGTGAAATTGTTCACAAACTCTTGAATTTGTATATACAATTTATTTAAATTGCAAGAATGGTCAAATGTTCAAATGTTTGCTGTGTCTTCGTTGGCTTTTAAAAAAGGACACATGGATGTTTAGGATGTTTGGAATTAAAGAGTAGGAGAATGGAAATCAAAACATTATGTCAAGTATGAAGCATAGTTAGCCGTAATAGTTCTTTGGCTGCAACATGCATCATCTGATATTGTCTGGTATTGTTGTTGATATCTGATTGTTGCCGTATTACGCACATGTTAATTCTTTCTGTCATCATCTTCTCCAAAACACTGTTACCTGAGATTGGCGCTTCGTGGTAGGAGTGGTTATATCCACTCTCAAGTTTAGAATATGTTCAAAGGATTAGATTTACAATCAGACTGTAAAATATGTCCTGTTGTCTTGTTACAAGGAGAATGTTGTTGTTACCTGTAGCTACGGCAACAATAAACATCTTATAGACCTGAGAGTAGAAAGGAAATAGAAATCATATAGCTTTTGAACAAAGCAATATGTGCAAAATGGAGACCTTCATTCCTTGGTGGAGAAGAGAAAGTATAGTAAAACTTAGGTAGCTAGGCAAAACAAAGAGAGATTTCTAGTGACATCTAATATAGTTCTGCTGCTTACTATTGAAAAGTTTTAATTCATAACAGCTGAATTCCTCCAACTAGCAGCTACACAAACAAAAGGTAAAAATTGGACAATTGTTGGAAGAACCGATTGCTGAAACCCTGTTTCATAAAAAAAGCAACTTTTGTATGTCTTCCCTCAGCTCATTAGTAACTCCAAGACTTGAAATGGATGTGTCAGAAAAAGAAGACATTCAAAATGTGCTTCAGGAACAGGGTTGAAAAGCACTGATGTAAAGGATAAATAATAGGATATTTGGATAGCAGTTCTTAGAAACTGATGTTACTGCAGATGACTTGAGATTCAATTTTGAGAAACGGTTTATTTGCTAAGATAGGGTGACCATACGTGCCATTTTCCCAGGACGTGTCCTGGGAAAATGGCACATATGGTCACCCTATGCTAAGATCACGTAAGGTACATTTCAATCACCAGAATGTTCTGCAGTTCAAAGTTTCAAATAGTTCAAATATGAAGAGATTCCAAGCTTTTATTATTGACTTATTTCAACATAAGCTGAACACAAAAAAAGAGAGAAAAAAATACTTGATAAATCAGCATAAATAATAATTTGATACACTGCACGAACAAGGCTTAAGCCCAGTTCACACCAAGAACGATAACTATAACGATATTAGCGTCCACACCAGCGAACGATATCGTCTGTTTATTCTAAGCGCAAGTGCGTCTGCCACTTTAAATTCTGCGTCTACCACTTTAAATTCTTGAGCTCGTTACAGCAGGATGGATTCTGATTGGCTGTCAGTGTTTTATCGTTCATCAACTGGAAAAAAAAAAATCATCTGAAAGTGTTTGGTTTGGTTTGTTTATTTATATAGCACAATA